TTGGCGCAGGCGGAAGGGGGATGGGAAGACCGCAGAACGGCTACGGCGGGCGCGGCAGCGGATACGGTAACTACAGCGGCGGCTATGGAGGCAATGACGGCTACGGTGGCGGGTATGGGGGAGGCTACGGGGACCAAATGGAGGGCTACGGCGGTGGTAACGGCTACAATGACTTTGGCAGCGGCTATGGCCAGCAGTCCTCTGGTTATGGCCCAATGAAATGTAATTACTCGGGCAGAAGCAACGCTCCTTACTCCCGAGGAGGAGGAGGTGGTGGTGGTGGTTACGGCAGGGGGGGTTACGGAGGCTCGTATTAGGAGCGTATATTAGGTCACAAATTAAGAGCAGCTCCTTCCCCAGCCCACATCACAGTTTTGACCACACATTATCTTCAGCTAAGTAGCCAGATTGAGCCACCTTAATGAGGCATGGCATTGACTGAAACACTCGAGCTCCATTCAGGAGTTCACAACTTTATCCAGCCTAGCAGATCATAGGTAACGTTAGGGCTCACCTATCCGACTTTACTCAACATCTCACAGCTGTTACTGCTACTACTACACATCCTTTTGCTCTTTTCCCTGAAGTACTAGGGAGTTTTTTTCCCCAGCAAGACATAGGACTACTACTCCGGATCTCTACTTATTATAAGACTGGCCAGTGGTGTCTTGGCAGGCTACTTGTTCGGGAAACTGTTACTCACGTTTTTTGTGCTTTGGGGTTAAGTTAAGAGTAGTAGTTTTTGCTTGTTAATTATTGTATGCATGCGTTTATCTACTTTTAGTATATGTATTGTATTTTTATTGTGTGTTTTCTTTTTAATACATTATAGGGTTGCAAAACGATGAATCGCATTCAAAATACATGTTTACATATTTTATGTTTGTGTACTGTGTATATTTATGTATATATAAATACACACGTGTATACAAAAAGGAAAAATGTTAGATTTATATATAAAACATACTATATGAAGTATAAATATATACATACAATTTTTTTTTTAATATATACATGACTGTGTATTTATATATCCATAATAAATATACACAGTGCACACACAGTTTGTAAATAGACATTTATTTTGTATGCGATTAATCGTTTTGCAGCCCTACATTTAAATTTGGTTTTGATTGAGAGCCAATCACAGTGACCCCCTGTAGAGATTAAAAAATTCATTGGCTGGCAGCAGGCATGATTTGCATATCACATGATCTGTTGAGTGCATCAGTACCTGCAGTAAAAATCCCATTCGTTTTCTTCATAAAACAAGACCTACTGTGAGCTATGAGGTTAATTGATGTTATATGCATTTGTTGAAGCCGTCAGTGGGCATTGTTTTAACTCATTTTGCAAATGTTAAAATTAACCATGATTCTTCAAAAAAAATCTTTAATAAAACATGTTAGTGCCCACCCACTCCCATGAAGCATGCCGCATGATATAATTATATATTTAAAATATATAAAATATATATATTTACTTATTTTGCAATAAATGTAACATTTTGTTTCTATATACACACTCAACGTCTTTAAATCAATAGTTTAATCTGTCATTCGCAATGCTTCTTGGGATTGCAGTACTTTTCATCGTGCACCCATTTTGTTTAAAATAAAACGCAAAGCTGATTGAGGGAATTATAACGCTTTACTTTTGAAAAATGAATGGAAAAATACTCCAGAAAATCAAGGCAGCTGAAAAAGTGGACACTGTTGAACTCAATTTGCTGCAGAGTCTGCCGCCAACCAATGAAAGATTGAACTTTTCTTTAATTAGGCTCGATGGCAACTAGAAGCTGTTCGTCCTAACATAAGAAACGTGTTGGAATAAACAGAAATTTCTTTGGCGTCTCAAAACCGTAGCAAGTTAAAGAACTAGTTTCAGGCTCACTAAAACAGCCCTCAACATCCATTAATATAGTGACTAACGTGTGTCTCCTCCCAATTAGTGACATTTGTTAAATAGTTCAAGCACATTATGAAAATATTGTCATTGGTGTTACAACGAACCTTTTCGTCGGGACTCTGAAGACCGATTTTAGTTGTTTTTCTACCGTTTAATCATTTAGTAAAGGACTTAAATGCTCTTGTCTCATTGTATTACTGCTTCAACGGAATAACCTATTGAATATTGTTTATTTCAGATACAACTGAACTGTATGTATTTCTGTTAATAAAAGTCATTATTCCGTAGCCAGTATGGTTTATGGCCAGCTGAGATTTATTGGGTCGCATATGAGGCCCGTGTAGCGATTCAGTCTTTTCATCTAGGTAAGACTAAAACTGGAGGCCAGCCTTTGCCGTCATCAGGCATTGGCTCTAGTGCTCCATATTAATGACATTTCTTTGCATCAGACATGTGGGGATGTCAATATTTTCCCAACCATATGTTGTCTTTATTCTTAAAATATGTTTAGAGCTTTGTTCCAATACTTTTAGTGATCAAATAAGACGGATCTATACCTTAGCTGTGTCCACTACTACGTCATTGGATTCTCCAGGGCTACTCCAGAGATGTAGAAACCCAGCTGAAAATCCATAGGATAAACGCACCAGGTTTGTAGAAATGCTTTATACACCAGACATTGCATCGGGTGTGTCTTTAACATACTTTGGATCCACCTGGAACGAAATCAGGTATTTGTGAGTCGTTAACGTAAAGCGTGCATGCAACTTTATTTCAGCATTTCCTAAATTCTAGCTGTGAATAGCGTTAACTGGCGGTGACCATGTAACATAGAGGAAAAGTGGAAATTAGAACATGCTCTGTAGTTCAATGTGGTGATTGTGGTCTATGTAGTTATGTCTTAATCCAATATTTTAGCCGATTTCCAGTTTAAGGTCAAACCGGAGAACGGAGCTTATAGTTCCTGTATACTTGACGCATTAGTTCCAGATATTAATGACATCAAATGCAAAGGAGATCAGCATTTATTAAGCAAGGTTTGTGCTTTCAGTTATTTACCTTACATTTTATCAATCCCCCTCCCCTCCTCATCTCGGTGTTTTGTCCTACATTTCTGGCAGTCTAAGAGGGCAGTGGGTTTTGTTGATAATCGAGTGAGACTAGTGAAAATGCAACTGTACAACCTCTTGGCATTGGCCTTTTCAAAAGTGCTGTCATTTTCAAAGCACACCTCCTACATAGACCCTTCTTAAAGGCACAGTGTGTAAATCTGAAGGGGTTGTGTAGATAGACATGTTTCAGGACACCACTTGTTGACTTGACGCTTACATGCATCTGCATCTGTCTTCTTTTTCCACAGAGAGAACGCAATGGAAGGATTTAAATAAAATCTCACTTTTAAGCGCGGCTGCTTGATGAACCTCTGCTGCAGCTGTGAATCCAGATGCTCTGAAAGATGAAGAAAGAACTCCAGTGAGTTTGGTAAGCAGGTTCTTTTTTTAAATCCGTGTTATACAGAAAGTCACACCAATTATATTTACAGAATTTCCTTTTTTCCCGTCTTTGCGTTCGAGCAGAGTTTGCATATGAACGCATATGCCAGATTCCCGTGGACCTCCGAGAGGCAAGATGCTCATGGTAAGATTTTGTACGTTAAGCCCTGACAATGAATGTCTTGCATTTCAGTGATTTGAAATCAAAATATTTCGATTACATATAGGGCTTAAGCGACAATTAATCGTTCAAAGTCCACTTGCGGTATTCTAGGTGCTTAAAGATTTCTAGGTGCTTTTTTTTCTCTACAGGTTATCTTAAGGGTTTTTCCATTGTTTTAATTTAGTTTAACATTATTATAATGTGCTTATATGTAATTTTTATTTAAAGAATAAACCGATCCAATGTAAAGTTGACATGAGGCTTAATACTCTAGAAAAGCAATACGTTTTTCAGTTAGTGTTTTCAGCTTGTTTATTTTCATCTAAAAATATGACGTGCATTTGTTTCAAACAATGGTATAACGCTATTCAAAACATAATGTAAATTGCGATAATTGTAGTTTAATAATCGCAATTACTATTTCAAGGGAAGAATTGACCATTATGATTTGTCATAATCGTGCAACCCTAATTACGTTCTCCTTTTAAGTTTACCATGGTTTGTCAAGCATCATGGTCTTTTTGTGGGCCTTATCACTGAGATTTGCTCACGTCGCTGGAAAATGTGTCTTCTGTTTGTTTTATTACAAAACTTGTAGAAACATACAAGAACAGGGAAATGAGACATGAATATATTCCTATAAAGAGGACAGAAAAGGACAGAAAACAAATATTCTGGATTTGCGTACGTCAATTTATGGTATTATCTATACAGAAAAGTACAACAATAAAATTACATCATTTTAGAAAAGTTATAATGCATCAAACATTTGGCACTCTTTGTTATTTGTAAGTCTAAGAGATGAAACAAGAGAATCAAGTTCAGCAAGAAAAAGGGGGAAAGACAAAGGAGATTTTTAGCCATTTTTGCTTATGAATGAAAAATTTTGCATTCGATACAAGAAAATTAACAACATATTCATCAGATAATAGCTTTCATAATAAAAAATAACATCTTTGAGGATGAAAGTATGGGTCACATCTGTAAGGTTAGATACATAAGCGCTTAAATCAACCCATAATTAGTTGGTAATACTACATTCAAAAAACAAATGGGCAGCTGTTTCCTCAAAACCACAAAATGAGCAAGACTCATCAACTTCAGAATACGTAGAAATAGACAAATCAACGGGATAAATTTTTATTAAGGATTTAATAATAAATCTCCTTAATCTTGTTAGATGTACAAAATTTACTTGGCAAAAGCTAGGCCTTTCTCCAATTTATATTTGTTATAAAGGAACCCCAGTAGAATTTCCCTCTTG